GGGGGGGGCACCGGAGGGGCTACGGCCACGGCGGCACCGCCCCCCGCAGTAGCGCCCACACACACGCACGGGGCGGGGCGGGGCGTCGCGTTCGCACGGCGCGACAATCCAGACAAATGCAAAATAACGCATAAAGCTGGGGAGCGAGGCGAGTTTTACGGGGAAGCGGAGTCTTTCTCGGCGGCCGAACAGGCCCGGTTACAAACGGCACTGCAGGACGTGCTCCTACGGTCCGGCCGCGCATTGCGCGCGCTGGGCATAGTAGAGGGACCCGCGGGGGCGCGGCGGCGGCGAGGAGAGGAGGGCGACGACAGAGGGACAGAGGCCGGCGCGGAGCGGCCGCGCGGCGGGCACCGCGAGGATCCGGACGATGGCGATGCAGCGCTCGAGGATGACGCCCAGGTTGAGTTCAGACGGTCGACGTCGGGGAAACCGAGGGAGGAAGATGACGATGAGCCGTCATTGACTGTGAGGTTAGATGGGGCGCCGAGAAACACATCGGGGTGACGGACGGAAGACGACGGACACCGGGAGAAGCTGCGACAGCGGTAGAGTATGACTATTTCGTAATGGCAACCCAAGAAAAACACCTTGTACGCCGCCGAGTTTTCCCCTCTTCTCACCCACCCATACTTTTACGAGGTGGGGTAGTAGTCGCACTAAAAGGACGCATATGCACAGGTCGCGGCGGCGGCTCACCGCAGCCCGCCTGCCGAGCCTGCCGGCCGGCTCCACCAACAACAACACTCAAACCACATTGCACCTGGCTGGCACAGCGGCTCACCCAGGAGGGTAGGGCGGTGCTCACCGGCAGTCCTCGGCTCGGCTCACCGCCAGTGCCGCGCTGATAGCAGTATCAATGCGTAACGGTGCACGGGACGTTACGGGTCGCGGCGGCTGGGCTGGACACACACATACTTCACACACTCACTCTTCCATGGAAAGTGTCATCGCCACTCACTCACTCAGCTGTCCCACATCCCCGCACACACATATAGGCCCACACAGTGAGTGACGCGCGCGTAAGTAGAAGAGAGTGACCGGCCGAGTAGTGCCGGCGGGCCGCCGTGCCGTGGGTGACGAGGAGGAGAGACGGATAGGTTATTTACAGGTAAGAGGAGGAGAGCGAGCGAGACAGACGAGCGGCGCGACAAGACGTCGTCGTCGGGAGAGGCGAGAAGTGCGCAAAGGGAGAGTGAGAGAGAGGGAGAGAAAGAGGGAGAAAAAGAGATACACAAGATAGAGGAGAGCGCCCATCTCGCTCGCACAGGCGTGGAAAAAAAAGAAGCAAGGCAAAGAGGTTAGGTCAGAGGTCATGGGGAGAGAAAGCGAAGTGTGAATACTACTTCGACATGGACGTCGACGTCGCCGCCGCCGCCGCCGCGTCGCTAGTTCGCGAGTGTCCGCAGCGTCGGCGTCCGTCACACGGCGAAGTTTCGGGCGCGACTTCCCCTCCGGCCGTGTGGCACGCGCGTCCCGGCTTACACATTACTGGAATGCTAGCAATGCGTGTGGTAGATCGGCGCGGCCCTGCGCGAGGCTATCCGGCCCTCATTCATTAACGCGAAGGCAACTAAATACTACTACGCCCTCCCCGCGAGAAGGAAAAGTACGCGGAGCGGGAGGAAATAGTAGTAAAATAAAAATTAAACAAAAATCACGAGCGACATGATGAGAAATTCAGAAGTTACGATTTATTTGCGAGACGTCGATCGTGCGGCCGGCGCGGGGCCACGCACGGCGGGGCCGACGGCAGCGCGGCCAGAGACAAAGGAATGCTTTTCCCGCAAGCCGAAGCGGGAGAGAGAATGAGAGAGACGGCAAGAGGGGCCTTGTGTGTCCCCGGCCAATCCCTGTCAATCTTCGGTAATACGCACGCACTCCCCTATGAGGCGAACTGCCTTCGCTCGAGGCAGCCAGTCTGTCGCCCTTCTTTCCTACCATACTCGCCCTTTGTTCGTATTTGTACCCGCACTTGTAGTACTACAGGGTGGGCGGCTAGTCCAAAGAGCTTGTATAGTAAGCTCTTTGGGCTAGTCCCTCTCAGCCAGCCAAGCCCGCATGTTGGCGCGCAGGTTGCCTCACAGGCATTCTGTAGTCGGTCAGAGCCGTGCGGCGCCGTGCTTGGCGAAGGTAGGCAACCCGCTCGCACGCCTGCATGCCGGGAGAGTATAACCGTGCGCTCCGACGGGGCTCGGGCGGTCGGGTCAGGGCCGCGACACGGCACGGCAGGTCTGTCTGCGGGGTGTTGTGGCCCGCAACACCGCTTTGTCTCAGCCCCGACAGGGTATTAGTTCAGGAAGCGGGAAGTTTTCGATGGGAATTACAAAAGCATTTAGCGCGATGGAGCCGCGCGCCGAGCTGCGCGCTGTGGCGCTGCCTGCGACGCACCTCCCTGCCCTGGGGTGTGCGCCGGTCCGCGCCCCTGGAGCCCAATGAGTATCATACGAGCCCACTAAGCCCGGGGCGCCCCGGGGCTGGACGCCTCGCCGGACGCCCCGGGCTGGACCCCCCAGAGACCCACTGGCCGGGGCAACGCCGCCGCGGCAGCCGGGCGGCCCCGTGGTGGTCAGGCGGGACCCCGCCCCGCCGCCCCGCCCCGTTCCAGGCGGACATTCCTCCGGGGCCTGGGGGCCCCTCTCTGGGCCGGGGCGCAGCGAGACCCAACAGTTTGCAAACGTGTGGGGCTTACGTAAAGAGCTGCTGGTCTGCTTTAGTCTGTCCCGGCCCGGGCCCCCGGGCAGCGCAAAGCAAGCCAGTACGGAGTACGGCGGTGGCGGCGGCGCGCTGGCAGGGCCCCCCAGCGGCAGCGCCCCGCTCGCCGCCCTCAAACAGGGCCATCGGGCGACGGCGGCAACCTTGCATTGGGCATCGCCCGTAGGACAATTTACAACAACGATGCAGCTCGAGATTCCGATGCGTGATTGGAGGGGAGGGGGACGGGAAGGGGGAAGTATCGGTTAACGGGGGCCGGAGCGTTTTTGTCCGGGGTACCCGAATGCCTTGTCGTGCGCCCCGTGTGAGCGGCGGGCTGTGTGTGTGTGTGTGTGTGTGTGTGTGTGTGTGTGTGTGTGTGTGTGTGTGTGTGTGTGAAGCGACACTGGCGGCCCCAAAAGTGCGACCCTCCGACCTTGTTCGGAATCCGACCCGCCGCGGGGGCTGGGCCAGACCGTCGCACACTGTACTACCAGGTGGCTGATTCACGCCGCGCACTTTCGTAGTTGTACAGTACCGCATTGCCCGCGTGCGGACGGGTTGCCTACTCGCACGGGGCTATGGGCAGCCGTTGGGCAGCGAGCAGCGAGCATTGGCAAACCCGCCCGCATCCGTGCATGCAGACGCGAAAACCACAGGTCTATGGAGACCTACGGTATCAAAGTGAAGTAGTGTACGAAAGTGCGCGGCGTGAATCAGCCTGAGCGCTGCCGGGCCGTGAGCTAGCTCCGCAGCTCCCCGCGCTCTCCGCGGGTGGGGCGTGGCGGTGTATGTGTCGCCCACGCGGGCCGGGGCGTGCCGACCGATGTGCGCCAGCCAGCCGCGGTCAGCCAGCCAGCCAGCCAGCCAGCCAGCCAGCCAGCCAGCCAGCCGGGCAGCGCAGCCAGCCTGGGAAAAAGTCGTACTGCCTGGTGCTCCGCCTGCTGCTCCGCGGGCGGGTCGTCGTGCGAGCTGCGCTGCGCCGTGCTGAGCGAGGCGAGCCACGCCCTGCCCGTGTGCAGCCCGCCGAGGTTAGGTTCCAGCGCGTACCGAGGTGGACACTCACATTCCAGGAGCGCGGCCACTACTACTACCGCGCCGCCGGTGCCGCCGGCCTGGCCTGGGCCCCGACGGCCGCCTCAACGCTGCGCGACGACACCTCCTCCTCTGCTGCCTCTCCAACCCCAAGCCCAGGGGGGAAAAATAATACGACCGAAGAAAAGCCAGATCAATATAATTGTCGGAGCGGGCTGCCCCGGCTTGGCGTGGCGTGGCGCGGCGGCAACCACGGCCACGACGACGGCGGCGGGGACCCAACCAGACACGCCGCCGAGAGAGACCATTCCCACGTGAAATATGGCGATCAAGTCCACTTTAATCCGCCCACTCGAAATTATTTCCCCCGTGTCGTGTGCTCCCGGGCGGACAGTCTCATGACTCCTCCCCCCCCCCTTATCCTCCATCCCCCTCAACGTCCCAGGCGGCGGCGCGGGTCGTGTCGCTTGAGACCCCCGCTCCCCCACCTCCCCTCCTCCAAATGGTCCCGTCCATCCCTGAAACAACGACGACCACCGACTCTCGGGCGGCGCGGTATGTCGCCCCGCGTTCACTCGCCGCATTCCCACGAGGTGCGGGTGGTGGCGGCGGCTACGGCCCGCGACACACACACACGCACACACATACACACAGATGGGCGCACTATCCACTCCGTCGATATCTCTATATCGAGTGGGGCGTGGCCGGAGCGCCCCCTGCCCGCCGGCCACTCCCACAAGACCCTCCACAACGCGAAGGGGTTGTGATCCCCCCCAGCTCCGCTCGATCCCT